GGCCTCCGCCCGGCCTGGTGCTCACCGCGCTGTGGGCCGCGGCGGCGCTGCTGGGCGCGCTCTCCCTGCTCGGGCCGCCGCCCGCGCCGCCCCCGGCCCCGGCTCGCTGCTCCGTCCTGGCCGGGGGCCTCGGGCCCTTCCGACCGCTCTGGGCGATGCTGGCCGTCGCGCTCCCCGCCCTCCTGCTGCTGGGCGCCTACGGCAGCATCTTCCTGGTGGCGCGCCGCGCTGCCCTGCGGCCCCCGCCTCCCGCGCGCGGAGCCCGGCCGCGCTCCGACTCTTTGGATAGTCGCCTCTCCATCCTGCCGCCCCTCCGGCCTCGCCTGCCGGGGGGCAAAGCCGCCCTGGCCCCCGCGCTGGCCGTGGGCCAATTCGCAGCCTGCTGGCTGCCTTACGGCTGTGCGTGTCTGGCGCCCGCCGCGCAGGCCGCAGCGGCCGAGGCGGCCGTCACCTGGGTAGCCTACTCGGCCTTCGCGGCTCACCCCTTCCTGTATGGCCTGCTGCAGCGCCCTGTGCGCCGGGGACTGGGCCGCCTCGCCCGCCAAGCCCTGCCTCGGCCCCCGCGGGTCTGCCCTTTGCGGGCCTGGCACCCGCGGGCACTCCTGCAGCACCTCCAGGGACCTCCGGAGGGCCCTGCCCTAGGCCCTTCTGAGGCACCAGAACAAACTCCGGATTTGGCAGGAGGGGAGAGCCTCAGCATGCCGAAGGCCGTCTGAGAGGAGGGAGATCTGTCTCATGCGCTGAACTGGGACTGGAGAAAGGAGGGTGGTATCAGAAGGGGCCCGTCCAGCCTCCTGCACGGGTTGTGGCAAGTGTCCTGCTTAGACGTTTGGCTCTGGCTCTGGCAGAAAGTAGGCCTGCAGCCTGGTGAGGCCCAGAGGCTTCTGGGAGCTAGGAGTCCTGGGCTCTGGGCCTAACTGTGCATGGCCTCGCGCACAGACCTACCCCTCCCTAGGCCTCAGTTTTCCCGTTTGTACCCTGGACCATCTCTAAGGGCGTCTCCAGTGTCCAGTGGTTTAGACACCCATGGATGATGCCCAAGCCAAGGACAGAGCAGAGGTGGGCAGGACACAAAGAGAGCCCTAAGGGCTCACAGCCAAAGGGATGGGCCAAGCAGGGCAGGATCTAGGTTATAGCCACAGCAGGAGGAACCAGCGGAGAGACACTCAAAGACTTCCCTGACATCTGAACCAAGGAGAGGTTGGACAAAGCTACTGGAACTCCTTCATCAGCTTCTAAAGTGCCCAGAAAACAACCAGATCGGTACGGTGCTAGAGGCAGGAGGTTGGACATGTCCCCCCAAAAGGTCCTGAAGCCCCAGAACCAGCATGTGGAAGGGGCTGAGGCCCAACTGGGGCTGGTGGACTCACAGATGGGGGTCCCTGGGGCCTCGGCTCACCCATTATCTGGAAGTTTTGCCAATACCCACAGTGTTTCACAGCTTCCTGGTCGCAGAATATTTATTCAAAAACAGGAATTGAAAAAACTGTACAGAGTGTCTGCTGCTGAGAACTCAGCCCTGCCCCCATGCCACTCCCCCAGCTGCTGGGCAGTGCCCCCTCTCTGGGTTGCCCTCTGCCAAGCCCAGCCAGTCCATTCCAGTCAAAAGGGTATCAGTGGAAGCAGCAGGAAATCTGCAGGGAGGTGGGCAGAGAAGCATGGCCCCCAGCAACCCCCAGCCCTGCTCCCTGATCCCCACAAGGGGGCAGTAGGCTGGGAAGCCCTAAGGGATGGGGAGTGCATGAGTGACCCCCAAAGTGGGGGCACTAAGGATGCTCCCTGCATCCAAGCACAGAGCTAGAGAGGATGGAGCCCTCTACCCTGGGGCAGCTGCAGCTCCCAGAACCCTGGGCCAGAAACTGGCCCCACTCTGAGCACAGGAACTCCCACAGACCAGGGCCAGGCAGGGGTGCGTCCATGCTTCTGGGCATTAGTGGCATTTGGGACCCCAGGCTGGAGTCCCCTTGAGCAGGTAGGGTGCGGAGGCAGCCCCTGCTGGCAGTCCCGCCTGCTCCCATGCCTGTACCTCAGCCGGCCTCAGTAGGGGGAGAACTTCTGCCGCTCAGCCTTCTTGCTCCCGTTGGCTGCTGCCATCTTGGCAGTGTACGCCGCCAAGCCCGGCGGCGGCCCTGGGGAGGCAGGTGGTAGAGCCAAGAAGGGCACAGGCTTGAGGCCGATGAAGTTGGAGAGGGAGATGGCGTAGGGCGTACCCAGCAGGCCTGGGGGAGCTGCCGGCAGGGCCGTCAGGGGTGGCGAGAATGGGGCAGGCAGGTCTGCGGGGGCCGAGCCGGGTGTCCCCCCAGAGGTAGACTTGGCCGTTTCTAGACTGGAGAGAGGAGAGGAAAGGGAAGGCGGCAAGGTGAGAGGGGACAACGAGGGCAAATACAGGGGGCGAGATTAGATGAAAGATGGGAGCGGGGAATTGAGAACAATGACACGGGGTGGATGTGTCTGGGGACAAGAAGGGAAAGGTGGAAGAGTGGGGATGCAAGAAAGGACAAGCAGATACTTAGAATGGGGTGAAGGGAGAAATGGGGAGACCAAAGAAAGACCCAGGGAAAAGAACCAAGGATGGGGAGATGGGACATGAGGGGGTGATGTCGAGGGGAAGATGGGGCAGCATGGAGGGAATGGGGCAGGTTAGGGGTGGCAGAGGAGGTCAGCTCACCCCACCCCACCTGTGCACATGAGCCCCATGACCTGTGATCCCCACCCCCAACCCTACACTCACCAGGCAGTGATGAGGTACTGAGCCAGGGCGATGGAGACCGGGGAACCGGTGATGGTCACGTGCCGTTCTCCAGCGCCCTCAGCTTGGTTCCCGATCTTGATATGTGCCCCTGACATCTGCCGGATCTCACTGATCTTGCTGCCCTGACGCCCGATGACGCAGCCAATCAGCTGGGGGGAGGGAGGAGTTCAACCCTAGGCGTGGCCCAGACCTGGGGCTCCCCACCCGCCCTCAAACCACCCCATCCCCTGCTCACATCATTGGGAACCAAGAACTCCTGCGAGCTGGTCTGTGCGCCAGGATCCAGGCCTGGGGGTGAGAAGAGGATTGGGCATGGTTCTGAGCCTTTCCTGCCTCCCCACATCCATTCCCGGGGGGCTGCGTGGCCCCTTGGTATCTGCCCCGCCTCCTTCTGCAGGGGCTGCTCACCTGGCACCATGCTTGGTGAGGCAAAGGGGACTGTGTGGCCCGAGAGCTGCTGGAGCTTGGTGACCTATGCCAAAGAAGAGGGGTCAGAAGTCAGAGGAGGTTCGGTTTGGGAAGGGGTGCCTTGGGCTCTGGTCACTCACCTCAGCTGGGGTCACAGCCCCATACTGACCCTGGACGGAGAAGCCCTGTGGGGACAAAGTGAGTGAAAAGAGGTTACAAAGACAGGTCAGGGCAGTTTGGCCAGAGTCACTCCTTGCTGCCTCTCCCTGAACCCCCAATTCCTACTTCCATCCCCTCCACCATCTCAGTCCCACTTCTCCAGTAACGCTTCCATCCCTCCTGTTGTTCCCCTCACCTGGTTGGCGGAGAGAAGGACGGTACCTAAGGAGAGGCTTGGGTGATACGGGATAGTGGCTCCTTTGGGTGGGGACTGGAAGGTACAAATGGGGCAGCTCTATCAGGACCCTCTCAGGCCACTCTGACCTCCCAAGGGCCCTATATTCTCAAGGACCTCCCCATAACCCCCAGGCAAATGCATCCAGCATCCTGCAGCTTCTGATTCATCCCTGCAGCCCCACCCTGTCCCTACCCGGTGTCACATGCATAGGATTCAGGGCCTGACAAGGCAGGCCCGGGGCCCAGCCCCTGCCCCCCTCCCAGCCCCAGGGCAGTACCTCCAGGATAACAGCGCAGATCTGGCGCACACACAGGATGATGGCATCAGGCACCCCAGACACCGTGACAGCGCGCTCTGTGGAATTGGGGAGCAGGTCCCCTGCAACCTGCACCTGGGCACCTGTAGTCTGCAAGCAGAGAACAGGGCCACATCTGGGTGCTTCCATAGCCCAGGACAGGGCTGCCCAGTCTCAGAGCTCCCCAGGGGATAGGAGCCATAAGCTCAGGTCCTCTCCCACATCTGAAGGGTGGGACTCCCTGGGGGTGGTATCACCTTTCCCTCACCTCTCGAATCTCCTTGATCTTGGTGCCGGCCTTCCCAATCAGTGAGCCACACTGGCTGGCAGGGATGACAAGGCGCAGGGTCACTGGAGGCCTTGAGATGTTCCCACCATTTGCAGGCGCTGAGCAGAGGTCCTGAGCAGGAAGACTGTGGGTTGGCTCTTGCACACCCCTGCTGCTTGCCTACCATGGAGGGAAGCCCTCCGCCAGACACCCTCCAACGTGACAACTCTGCCTGTGATGGGCCTCCCCTCCCACCCACAGCCACTATATGGAGTCGGACTCCTGTTCCTCCCGGGGAACCAGCCTTGGCTTCCACCCCAGCCAGCCACAGACCTCGTCCAGCTTGAAGGCGATCATGGAGACTGCGTGGAAGACAGCTGCCGTAGACCCGGTGATGGTGGTGATGCGCTCAGGGCAAGAGCCCTCAGAGATGGTGATCCGGGCGCTGCTCTGCGGGTACAGGACAAGCGCCGGGCAGCGGGGCTTCTTCTCTGCTTTCTCACCAGCAACATGTCTGCCTGCCCCACTCACAGGCCCCAGCAAAGCTGTAAACCGCCACTCTCTAGGGGCACTCACTGGTCATCCCAAGTGGGGTCCAGGGAAAAGGCAGGGCAGGGGTCACCCTTCCCCTCCAAACCAGGTGCCCTGGGCTCCTCCCCACACCCCACTCTCACCTGCTCCCGGATCCGTTTTACAGTTTCTCCTTTCTGCAGGTGACACAAACAGAGAAAGGCTCTTAGCCTGAGCGACTGCTGCCACCTTTCCTGGACGGAGGCCTCAGGTTGAAGGGGACACACAGAACAGAACTGAGCACCTACCTTCCCAATTATGCTGCCCACCTCCTGCAAATAAGTCAAGAGTAGAGTCAGGCAGGTACCAATGCCCAGGCCCTGTGCCATCCCCTTGACCCCCAACAGGAGACAGGACACCTGAGATCAAACTGGTAGCCGGACCTCGCCTCGCCGTGCCCTCTGTGCCGCCCAACCCACAGCGAAGCCCGCTCTCCCACTCACCTTCCCATGCATTAGCATCCGCAGGGTGAGGGTGATGCTGAGCTCCGCCGGCCCCTCCTCCAGCCCCGCATCTGAGCTGCTCATCCTGTCAGGCGGGGCCGGGGCCGCAGCAGCAAGCTGAGAGTGCGTCCACACTGCGGCCTGGCTGGCTCTGGCAGGGGCAGCAGGAAAGGGGTCAGACAAGAGCCCCGCTCTCTTTCAGGTCCCTTGCCCTTCCATGGGGACCCCAGGGCTGGGCTAGCCAAACTCCCAGAGGAGGGAGACGGCATGGATGCCAAGTTTCAAATGTCCCACTGACCGGTGTGCTTGTGTGCACCTCGCTAGCCGTGCAACCCTGGACATCTCACTCAACCCTCCTGAGCCTCAGCTTCCCCGTCTGGATGAAGGGGAAACCAAGTTCTGCCCCAAAACAGCTATGAGAATTAAAACGAGCTAAGGACATTAGAAGAATGGACTAGGCCTATAGGAGTCCAGAGAAAGGGAGCCTCATCCCTGACCTCTTGGAAGAGGGGACCCCTGTGGACTGGGCCTTGAAGGTGAGTTGAGGTTGAAAGGTTACTTCAAAGAGGCATTGGTGTCCAGGGGCCAGAGCCCCTGCTGGCTAGAGCATGGAGGAGCGGCTGGAGAGGGAGCTGGCACAGCCATAGGGAGCCACGGCAGGTCTCGAAAGGAGAGTGGAAGTGGAGATAGTAAGGCTCTAGGAGGGGCCCTCTCGCCTGCCTTCCCTCCGCCTGGCAAAGGCTTGGGGCACAGGCTGGAGCCCCACCTCCAGAGGTTGCTTCTGTCCACTAGAGCTCATGGAAACGGGCTCCCCGCAGACAACGTTGAGCAGGGTTCACTCAGCACTGGGGGGACACGGGGGAGTGTTTTGGGGACCAGCAGTCTGCACAGTGGTTTTCCAGGCCTTCTCCTATATGCTGAGGAGGTAAGTATCCAGGCTGGCCACATGCCCAGCCGGGAGCACTTCCTACCAGAAACAAGTCACTTGGGCTCCGAGTCTCAGTTTCCTCACCCATAAAACGGAGGGAACGTTTCTTCCCGAGACTGAGTGATGGGTAAGCAAGGGATTTGGGGGGCTGGGGAATATCAAGGCTGGTAACTGATGGAGGACGGAGGGGTCAGAGATTAGCTGCTGGGATGAGCCCAGCAACCAGCCCTTGCCAGCCCTCCCCATCCGACCCCTTCTCAGGCCCGGACTTAATCCTGAGCCTTAATCCTGCCTGGAAATCCCTCTCCTCCAGCGGCTGGCTGTCTCCCACCAAAGCTCTGCCTTGGTGGGGAGCTCACTGGGGGACCTGAATCAGGGGTGGAACACAGGTTGTGGGACCAACTGGTGCCAAGCCTGAGCCAAGACCAAG